CTTTACTTTAACTAGGGGCTCGTCGGGGGAAACTGGGATGAGATGGGCCACCGGTCCCCCTCAGTCTGAGTCATCCCCTTGTGGTACCATAACCTTTTCGGGTTCCTTCGGGGCCCTCTGTCTCTCAGGACACTCTCTCTTCCAGTGCCCTTCTTGTTTACACCGCACGCATTGGTTGTTCCCCAGCCCCCATGGGCTGGCTTAACAGGTGCCAGTGGAACATGTCCAAACTCAGCCCATCTCTTCACTGCTGCACCTTCCCTTCTTTCACTCTTTAGTGGACCCAGGTGGTCACACAAGTGAGCGGACTAAGCCATCTACTCTCTGGCTCCCTTTAACTTCCAGTCCTGGGAGGGGACGCTGTCTCATGGACACTGACTTTTCCCGCCTCGATGCATCCAACAGCAAACCACTTGCTTGAAATTCAAAAAGCAAAAACAATCCTACGGATCCTTGCTTCAAAGGCAAATCTTCTGTTCTCTTGGCAGTTCTGGGTGGTTCTGTATGTCTTTTCAAATGCAGATCTGGGTGGGGCTCAGGTTTTGACCTAAAGCCCCAACTCTATTCACAGGGCTACTGGCTTGAAACAAAAAGCTTGTGTTTCTCCCAGGCAAATCCTAGTTCCCCTTTTAGCATATTCAATCAAGTATTGGCTGAAGGCAGAGTTACACGCTCTCTGTGGTCTGCAATACCCAATATTCATTTCCACCATATGTTTAGGCCTGCTTTACAGCATTAGGTAGGAGAAACATTCAGTATCCATAGTACATTCAGGTAAACACATAACCCTAAACACAACCTTTTTGGAAAACATTCCAGTTGAGCCCTCTCCGCTTGACTATCTTCCCATTCATGTGCATATGGCCTTGGGCCTCTGGCTGGTTGGAACCAAAAGACCTTGGCCTCTTATCAGTCATCCAGCTTGTCAAGCCAGGCAGTGGCTTTTACCCAACGCCGCTCCAGTTGGGGCTTTTCTCCCTTCAGCTGCAGCATAACCTTCCCTTCAGCCATTAATGGTAACAACAACCAAAGTAACCATCTGAGAATCAAAAGTTTCGCTTCCCAAGCCTCTGCTTTCTCTCACAAGGTGCCATGCTTTCACGAGTTTGGAGCCATTGCGAAGAATCCTTCTCCTGACACCAGCTGTGAAAACGACTTGAGGGCAGTGCCTGACCTCCTCCACCTAGCACAGGGAGTTGCTTTAACGGGTATAGCCCTGTTGAGGGTTCTGGAGCCCCTGGACCAAACTGGGTGCTGCTTCGAGTATGCACTGGGGAAAGCATCTCAGCACCGGAGGCCTCAGGCTGACAAAGTGTTTACAGGATAAAGGGAAGGTCTATGACCTCAAGTTAAAACTGGGTCCTCTTCCGAAGGACTAGAAGAAATGGGTTTTAACCTCGGTTTGAACCATGATTTTACATTGTTTCCACAAATTCTTATTTTGCTACAATGCCACAAAAGCTTCAACATGCATTTTCTCTTCCCACTTTCTTTTAGTACAGACCAAATCTGGCTGCAGTATGGTGTTATGACATAAGGATCCATTCTCAGGCCAGGCAGTGTTACACAAAAATTTCATTTTAGACTTTTTCATTGGGTCGTATCCAAAATAAGACCAATTCTTTAAAATACACCGTAGAGGACTGCATTCCAGAATGCTTGAATTAGTTCCCATGGTACCAAAACCTAAAATTACAGAACTCCTATTTAAAATGAACATGCTTGACCCGACCTTCACTGGCTAAGCATTACCAGAATCTATGGTCTGTCTAAATAAACTTATTTCTGTACCAAATCTGGAATGACAGATGCCTGTTCAAAATGAAAGCGTATGACCCGACCTTCACTGGCTAAGCATTACCAGGTCTACAGTCTGTCCACTTTCTGAACAATAGGACTTATTTCTATACTGACCAAGGGGTCTTTTCCCTCTTCCCGGGGCACCTGACGCTGCTCTATCTCCTCCTCATGTAGTCCACCACCAAGGGGTCCGAGGTCGGCTTCTGCCTCAAGGGCCAAAACGAATCTCCCCCAGAGAAAGGTTACTGGTATACACGTGGGAGGAGCAGTCAGTTCCTGTCGAATGGAGGCGATCTCACGAGTCAGGCAGCGCTGGTCCCATCTGGGTTGCCAGAGTTTGTTACCCAAAGCAGGTTCTGCTCCGTGCGGCTTCTTAACAATAAAGACACACCAAGGTGAGGAGGGGGGGGAGAGTATTTATTGCTAGCTCACAGGCAAGGAGCAAGCTCCCCCAACAAAGGGAGGCAGAACCTTTTATACTGTCTCTCTGAAGGAAATCCATACAAACATTATGGACTACATAGGTTATTGTGGCACACAGGTGCAGTTAGACAAATTGTATTTTTTTATTTGGCATGTAGGCTAGTAAACTGGGTTTGACTGGCTTGAGCCACACCCAGTGCTTTGAGGACAGTGGACAGGAGGGGCAGGTTCCGCTTGGTCTGAGCAGCTCCCAATTGAGCCACACCCAGCACTATATCACTTAAGGCTTTGTTTGATAATGGCTAAGCAGCTCCTGGCTGTGTTGGCTATCAATACAACCCAGTAATCCGACTCTTAGGTATTTACACAAAAGAAACAAAATTTACGTTCACATAAAGACTTGTATCCAAATGTTCGTAACAACTTTGTTCATAATAGTAAAACAATAGAAAAGGCCCAAATATCCATCAATGACTAAATGCATAAACAAATTATGGTCTATCCATACAAGGGACTACTACTATGCAAAAAAGTGAATACATGACTGATAGTCTCAAGACCATGGAGGAATCTCAAAAGCATTGTGCTACGAAAAAGAAGTCAGATACAGAAGATTACATACTGTATGATTCCATTTATATGAAAGTCTGGAGCCCTGGTGGCACAATGGTTAAGCGCTCAGCTGCTAACTTAAAGGTTGGTGGTTTGAACCCGCCCAGTGGCTCTGCAGGAGAAAAGACCTGGCGATATTCTCCCATAAAGATTACAGCCTAGGAAACCCTATGGTGCCGTTCTGCTCTGTCATGAGGGGTCGTTATGAGTCGGAATCAACGACAACATAGTGGCATTAAGTGGCGAAGGGGATTGACTGCAAAGGATTTCGGAAGAGAACTTTTTAGGATGATGGACATGTTCTGTATCACGATGGTGGTCACGGTCATCAACTGTAGGCATTTGGCAAAGCTTATGGGATTGTACTTTAAAATCAACGCATTTTATTGTTATGTAAATTATATCTCAATTTAAAAAAAGTGTGGTTTGAATCCCAACACTTCACTTTCCAGCTGTGTAATCTTGAGCAGATAATGTAATCTCTCTGTGCCTCACTTCCTTATCTATTGCAGGGAATAATAAGAGCAGCTACTTCCCATAGTGGCTGGGAGTATTAAGTGAATTCGCTCATGTCAAAGGTTTGCAATATAGCCTGGCTAAACAAATATTGGAGTCCCTGGGTGGTGCAAACAGTTAACGCACTTGGCTGCTAACTGAAAGATTAGAGGTTTGAGTCCCCCCAGGCCTGGTGATATGCTTCCAAAAGATCAGCCATTGAAAACCCTGTGGAGCACAGTTCTACTCTAACACATATCCGGTCGCCATGAGTAGGATTGGACTCCTTGGCAATACTTGTTAAATATTAGCTGTTACAGTCAGCATTCCTGTATTTGGTGATGTGGAGTAGAAGCAAAAAAAAAGCATCTCCAAAAGCATTTAGCCCTTCTCCAGCAGTGCATTGGGAGCTGCTTCCCTGCTAGATTAGCATTTGTGGTACCACTGTTGGTCCCCTCTAGGTTAGCATTCGTGGTACC